AAATAATGGTTCAGGCCTCAGACTCGAAAAGAAATAATAATGAGGTTGAATATGTAATTAGAACTTAGTATATATTTAACCAGATATGCGCAGGCGCAATACTAGATCAAATAATATTAAGATTACAGTATTAGGCCAAATGAAATAAATTGTTTGCTTGTCTTTCTTTTTTAAAAACCATAAATATGGGCGGGTGGAAAAAGTTTTTTAATTATTTATTTATTTTAAATACTCATCAGATGGAATAAAAATAACCCACAGAGGCCTAGAATGGCAATACCTTACATCAGACAATAACTTTAGACTAATTTATAGGGCATCTGGCAAAAAATAAATATAAATTCACTCACATTTTTGTTTAATTGTAAAGAAAAAGCTAAAAAAAAACTTTTTTTAAGTTTTTGTTGTTTTTCCCCGCCCCTATTTTTTTCAGTGAGGGGCGAGTGGAGGAAGGCAAACAAACTTTTTTTGCCTTAGAGCTTATACAATAGTATAGTCCTAAACCCATATACCAAAAAAAAAAAAAACAAAAAAAAAAAAAAAAACAAACGATCAAATTCATTTATGAAATATGACATGCAGATGTTGTATAATCGATGCAATAATGAAATAATGGGTATTGTTCAACTTCCCAGTCTCGTTGTTTTTGTATATTCGCATTCTAAAGTAAATAGGCTACACTGTCCAGTTTCGCACTGTCATTATTTGGAGGACGTGTTGCCATGATCTCAAGGAGTTTTTAGTCCAATAAATTTTACTTCTTCTATTGTTTTCAGTATGTTTTATATTAACCCACACAGCGTAGTGGTAGAAACCAAAAGGTCTACTGATTAATCTCAAGATAAGGAAGTATAATACATACTCCAAGTATTGAAATACACGCCATCGTGTTGAGATTCAATATTTCGACATTAATTATGTCATCATCAGGATGATTTCCTGATGATGACATAATTAATGTCGAAATATTGAATCCCAACACGATGGCGTGTATTTCAATACTTGGAGTATGTATTATACTTTCTTAGCGTAGTGGTAGATTCCTATAAAACAACGAGACGTTCGTGGTAATGATATTGCAACGATTTAAAAAAATGAAAAACACGATATCGGTACTAGATATATACATGCAAACAAGGGTTATAATAATAGTTTTATGATATATCTGCATAAATTTGTCAAGTTATTAATTAGTAATATTCCGTAAGGAACTGAAGAAAAATCAAGCAAGCATTCCAGAAAAATGAGGATTGACAAGTTTTTATTTTAAATTTCTTTCATAAGAGATTATATGCTTTCTCTAATAACTATATACTGTAATTGAATTAATGAATAGACAAATAAGCCTGTTATAACATGCTGTACCATGTATATTACTCGGTGGGCCGATGGTAGTATATACTATGTTAAATTGGATAGACCAATATTATAACACTGTTGTAATCAACTTTTATTACATATATATTATGCACTGACTCCCATCAGGTATTTTGATTAGTTGTTAGTGACAAATCTGTTAGGATGAATGGACACTGCGATGTTATGACCCGAAGTCTTTAAAATCATGTGCTAGACCTTTTAAAGTTCTCAGTATTCACATACCCATACGGCAGAATAACTGATCTACTGGAAGATATCGTAATCTGTTCACGCTGTAGCCTGTCACTATCATCACAAGAACTTGACAAAAATGCATTCTGGTACGTTGATCGAAAGAGGATGGCAATGCCATTTTCACCTTCTACAGCCTCCTTTTCAAGATTACTCGACGAGTAGACATGCCCCTCGAAGTCCCCAGATGAGGTAAACCCACCGACCGAGTTCATACCTGGTGTCGTTAATTTGACAACGCCATAAACTGGTATTATTTTAACGCGTTTTGCATCATCAAATGAATGCAGCGATGTCGAATACATGCTGCTATTAGATTTGCCAGTCTCAATACTACTGGTTCTGGACAATGATTTATGTTTGAATTCACAGTTATCGCCACGATTCTGCGTTGTCGTCCAGACGCCAGTGGTCAAATCAGTACCACAGGGCCTTCTGCAATCTTCAATCTGAACAGATACATCAGAAGAGTTTTGTAAAGAAAGTTCATTGCTATTGTCCTCATGAAATGAAGAGAACAGTATCTGGAACTGACTATCATTTAGTTCAAATGCAGGGTTTTCATACGTTGAAGGACTTGGTTGTTTGTAATTTATATCCGCGATATTCCCTGCCGCCTTGCCGTCATTTGTGGCAGGCTCTTGAATCGCGTAAGCATTTGGAATAAACTGGAATTCACCTGGTACATCTTTTGTGGCAAAATTACCTGTCATGCTTTCATTGTCTAACGGAGTTTCCATCCGTTCTTGTCCAACTATATTTTTCCTTCGAAGACATTGCCATAACATTACACACACGAGTTCTAAGCCGATTGTTGCAAGGAATACTGCGACACAGTATAGCACTACAGTCTTGTTGTCTGTGCAGTCAGTTTGGGCAAACACTGATGGTGTCAAAGATGCAAGAACTATGCATATTATTATAGCTACCTTGACGGCCATAAAGAGTGATTATATTATTACTGTGCGTTTTCTTGACAGTAGACCTATATTCGTTACCCGGTATCAACTGAATCTTGATGAGTTCCGTATCGCATGAACAATTTTAAGACTATAACTTGTTTAAAACTAAATCACCTGCAACGAAACTGTAGTAAATTGTTCACTGAATTATTTAAAAATAATGATACAAAAAAGACAACGAGATATCGGAAAGCTAAGTCCCCAATCTCCCTTTCAAAGTGGTTCAAACGCAATAATGTATGCTCAAGGCCTAAACAGAACCTATCTTGGATAACAGTGGCGGCGCCAGCGTCTGGAATCTGGTGGTGGTGGTGGTGGGGGGGAGATGGGCCGAGTGAGGGGCAAGGTACAATTTTTTTGGGGGAGCACAAGGTCCCCAACGAGAGCAGGCGTGGTCGGGCGTCGATTAAAATGTTTCGAAAGTAGTTCATAGGGCGGTTCCCCCGAAAAAATTGACAATTTAGGGGTTTCAGAGAGGCTTATTTAATCGATTTTATATATAACTTAGATAGTTTACTAATATGTAGAAAATACATTCGTCGGGGAGACATTTTTTTTCTCTCCGACGAATTGCGCTTTTCCTTCTTCATTGGAGTGGGGGCAGGAACTGGGGAGGGCAAGAAATCTTCTTGGGGGGAAATTCCCCCTTTCACCCACCCCCGTAGCGCCGCAAATGTTGGAAAATAAGGGCGTATCAACCTGAAATGCATATATAGACAATAACATCCAATCGATGTATTAATGTACCATCGTTTACATTCCATTAGTTTCAAGTGAAAACTAAAATGACTGGAGACATAATCAAAGACAAGCAATATGGCAATTCTACTCTATCACTCTTCCTAATTATAATGACAGGATTAGGCCTACATGCATAGGGTTTGTTCGTGCCGTAACAATGGGATGGGAGTCGCCCCTGGCTACTAGACCCCCTCCGAGCTCATAAAAGCCAAATGGGCCTCGCAGTACGTGAAGAACACAAGCTAAATAAAACTACCCTTATAATGAGGGCGTAACATGCATGGTGAATATTAAATGGTTTGCAAGCCTAACGACAGACCAGCATGCAGGAAAGGAACGGAACGAGGAGGGGTACATGCACAGGTAATTGCTGAAGAAAGCAAACATAACTGAAGCAAGCATACTATACTGTAGATGTGTGATTGTATAGTCAGTCACTTTACTTTCACTGTGTTTCTAGAAAGGGGCGGATTTGTGGGGGGGGGGGCGGCCCGGCCCCGGTCCCCCTTTTGGAAGGTAAAGAAAAGAAAAAAAAAAGGAAAAAAGAAAGAAAAAGAAAAAAATGATAGCCCACAACGCCTCAAATGTTATTTTCGGGCGTCTAGAACACAAAAATTTCGGACCCCCTAGGACATTGCTAAAATCAACTTCCTAATTACGGCAATTTGTTTAGTTCATTAAATTAATATTAATTTGTTTAGAGTGTTAACATGTAGCCCTATTTTAGGGGCTGTGTATACTGTATTTTGTATGCTCTTTATATTGGTTAGGCCTATTATTCTTCATTGGTTAAAACATACGTTTTATCTATTTCAACGCATTCCAATTGCGGTAACTCGCTGTAAATCATAATTCAATATCGCACATCTACAAAATTTGATCAAACCAGGGAGTTGTTATTTAGTCAAACACTCATAACTGAACTCACCGAGTGTATAAAATAATATTTAAAACATTATAAAAAAAATCAAGGTTAGAGCATCAATCCAGTATACAGTTCTACTTTAGTTGTCTATTGTAAAAGGCCTGATATGACGCCTACTTAAAACGATGGAATAATACAATAACACGTTCATTACAATAGTGGAAGTAGGCCCTATTATGTACAATAATACAATTAAACTGTTATTCATGTCAGTGCTCAACAGGCGGCTAACGGGCGTACCGATTCCCTGGTTGCATAATGGCTGGTGCGAGCATCCTGTCGGTGCGCGCGTGCGACGCAAGCCCAGGTTGGACCAAAGCAGTCACCATGGCCCATCGGAGACTAGGAAATAAAGGCCCGGTAAAACCTGTTCTAATGTTGCGGAAAAGTAATTAATTTGATTGCTTGTTATGTAATCTAATTTTGTTTTAGATGGGAAAAGAAATAAGGAATGCAAACGGTAGCAAATCTGGAAAGGTGCGTCAAGTGCCCTCGAGCTCCAGGGACCAAAATTAACAAGGTATAAAAAGTAGCCTATGACAAATTTGAGTGATTTTTTTTTTCATCAGGTTTCATCCTGGTTTGATATTAAGCCTACACATAGAGACTAAAAGTAGACGTTAAATAGCTCGATATAAATATATATTACTGTTGCATTAGACCTACCAAGGCAATTAATCCTTCTACTACACCTAAAGGTCAAAAATTCGAATCTTCTATATCCAAATAAGTCATTAAAGCTCCCGAGAAAGTCTGCATTTCGGTGTGAACAACCGTGTCCGTGACAGTGTTCTATGTTATTGTATACAGAGGCCTACTTGTTGCAATTGACCTATTTAGCTCGGAGACTATAATAGCCTACTGTCCTGATCATTTACATACCAAAACGTTGTCTATATTTTATATGTACCCTAAACGAATACATTTCTCTAGTGTTTCCATGCGTTTTAGAAGGCCTGTTCCGTTCACACAGTGTTAGTTTTAAATATACATGAACGATAATGTGTTTCGAAACTAATAATAGCATACCATGCATGAAATATAAAGAGTTCCACTACATTTAAAGGCTAAATGGTCCCATGATAGCAACCCATGGTAGATTTTTTATGACTTAATAAATTAAACGGCGAAAAATGACTGTATTAGCTATTACGTTAGTGACTTAGCGATGGAGATGCTACGAAAGATGTATTCCAATTTCCGAAACGTTAACATAGGCGTGATTTTTTAAATGTCTTACCTTTTTTAAATGCCTTGGTTTTTGATGTTTTCTTTTGTTGTCCTCTCTCTGAGGTTACTTCAGACATGATGGGCCATTCGTTTGACAGGAATTTCCGGGTGAAAGACGCCTGTTCGGTAAGTTGGCCCCACTTGTAGTAATGACAATATTACAGGTTTTTCCGTCCTTTGAACGAGTTGCGTTCACGAATCTTTAACTACGCTGAACGTAGGAGAGAGGTGAGAACGAACCTTGAGTTGGAATTTGAATAACCTTTGATTCACTCATCCATACGACAGCAGACATCACAAAAGGTTTTAGCAGAGCTACGAAAGGAGTGTACATTCCATTGAAACCCTTGTTTGAAAAGCCTATAAAATAATGACAATTGAAGTTTTTCGACTCTACCATCCCACTTGTAGGGATGCAGCGTTGTAATTTTGTTTGCGGTAAAACGACTTAAGCTAGGAATCCAGAGAGGCGTGGCGGATTAGCAGATGAATTTATTGGCAAAATGATGTAAGTTATGCCAACTGCAAATTTAATCGTCGGTGAAAAAAAAATCGCTCACAGTTTTCATTTATAAGTCAACATAAAACCTTCAAGAACGGTGTGACCTAATAATAATAAATCATCCTATTACGCTCGAGAAGATGTAGGGCCTATGTTCTTACAGTAGGCTTATATACAGGCATACACAGTACCGGTATTTCATTAAATTTTTAAAAATGTACAAAATGAGTAAAACGCAAAAAGAAAATAAATGATAACAATTAGTGTGCGGATAATAGGTTTTTGTTCATCATTCTCTCATCCTCTGTCAAGAAAATGCAATGCACGCCATTTATACCAAGTTAAAATACAGGTCTCCCTTTAATTAAAGACCCCTCCAACTAAAGACCAGTTTTCTGTGATCCCAAATTAATGTCTTTTATCTTTATTATTTTAATAGAGACCAAAGCGGCTAAAGACCATGGAAACCCAAGTTTCAAAAGTTGTCGACCTGTAAAGTCCGATTTTTCATGCATTTTAGTTATAGGCCTCAATGCAAATTTTGAACAGTTACATGCAAGGATTTTCTTTTGAGACAAAGTTACTTCATAATAGCAAAATGTTAATCGGCACACACATCCTTCTAAACGTAAAAATACAAAATATCCTATTGCTAAAATATAAGTTGAAGTAGGCTTACAATAATAATCCCCTTTAAGACTTGAATAGTCGGACGTATACAGTCCCACGTGAAAAATACCTACGGTCTTCGTCATAGGTGGTGTATTACCAATCAGTAAGGAAGGACACGGTTTAGTGGATATTTAATCGTACATAAACTATATAAAAAGAAACGAAACTATGCCTAAAAATTCCAAAGTAGACATTTTCAATTCTTCAGTAACTAAGAAGACCAGAAGTTTTTTTGCACCTTAATAAATTTATATATAGATTTATATATAAATTTAAAAAGTTTTAGGAAAAAACAGAAATATAATGTAAAGTGATACAGTTTAAAAAATAAAAGACAATAAAATGTTTCTTTATTCTGAGTATACTTTATTAGGCGTTGTATGCACAGATAAAGGCTTTGTCAGACTCTCCATGTCGGGGATAAATAGCGGGTTTATGCACTGTATCGTCACAGGAGTTTTCTCCGGATCTGGACGAGTCAAAGCAAGGACGGAACAAGGGGGCCCATGGGGCTAGGCGCTACCACCCAAAAAATGAGAGGTAAAAAGAAAGAAGAAAAAAGAAAGGAGAAAGAGGGGAGCACTGTATTCCAGAAAAAAGGTAATTTTCAATATAAATCTTAATTTTTTTTCTTTATAAAATATGACCACCTAATAAAACAATAATTATTTAGTTAAGAAATATAACTAAATATTCAACATTGTCTGTGATCTGAATAAATACTTAAATATTTAAAATGCTTGTTATTTTAATTCAAAATTACAGTGATTAAATATTTTCCTCGCAAATTAACAGTATAAATTACAGTTCAGATACCGTAAAACCTCGAATAGAAGCCATCGGCTTCATTTTTAAGACCCCTGGATAGGCTTTTTTCGAGATAGGCTTCTTTGCGAGACAACTTTTGCAAACTGAAGAGAGGCTTTTTACGAAATGAATGCTGCAAATTTTGGAATTGCTTCTGTACATTTTTCAACTATGAAATTCGAAATTATGTTTAATATTTGTTAAATTTTAATCATGCTAGTACAATGCAATAATATTGATATATGAAAATAATAAAAAAAATAACGTTAGTATAGATATTTAAGAACTATCTTGAAAAGAAGCCCATGTTATCGGGCTTCTTTTCGATATGGGCCTCTTAAATGTCAATAATTCATTTGTGGCAAAGTCAAGCCAAACCAGTCACTCTTCGCAAAAGTCGATTTTTAGCTATTAATACATGGTTAAACAGTAAAATGAGAGCTATTAAATGGTAAAGGAATCATTTAAATCCGACATTTCCGTATGAAGTTACAAGCATTTAAAGAACAATATTTGAGAAATCAGCCTTTTAAAGTTTTTTTTTTTTTGTTTTTTTTTTTCCGAGATGGGCTTATTTTCGAGATTACTTTTGCAAACCAAAGAGGAGGTTTCTTACAAAATTAATGCTGTAAATTTTGGAAATGCTTCTGTACAACATTTTTCAAATACGAAATTCGAAATTCTGTTAAATATTTTTAAAATTTCAATCATGCTAGTACCTGTACAATGAAATAATATTGATACTGTATAACAATAAAAGATAACGTCATAGTGAGAATGTAAGAACTATCTTGAAGATGCTTGAAGGAAGCCCATGTTATCGAGATTAAGCCGGGGCTTTGATTCTAGGTTCTATTTAAAAAAAATTATTTTATAGTTGTTGTACAGCGGTGGCTCCAGAAATTTGACTGCCTTGGTCGGGGTAATAGAATAAAAACTCCCTGGTAGGTTCGCGGGGAGAGTTTTTATGGCTTAGTATGGTCCAAATTAATTGTGCTTTTAGACTAATATTAGGAATTAGCATCATGAGTGTATTAAAAATCGTAACGGTACTGGGTTTGTACCAGGAGTTCGTGCTCCAACAGGTCATTCCATTACTAGAAGAAACCTTTTGATGAAGAAAGTGTACCGCACGGTACCTTTTTAGCAAGGTTTGCCTAGGTCGAAACTAACTCCAGCTATATACGAATTGATTAGAAGACTAAAAATGTTATTCTTATTAATGAATAGATAAGGGTTATAGGGTTTTTATTGCTCTAATCTACGTAAATTTACATTTAGAATCTAATAATTATAATTGTTAAAGTATTAATTTAAAAATACAAATATAATGTAAATAATCATTTAAGTTTATAATAATATTTAAATAAAGCAATAAGTAAATAATGTTACAATTATGTTATTGTTTACTGAAGACAAAAAATAAAAGATGCAGGAAGAAAAGAGGTCCGGAGGGGCTTTCGATTGTACCGAAAATTATATAACAGTAATAAGGGCTCATTATTAAATTTTACAAGTTTGTAGTAAATTTTGGACACTAATCATCAGAGGTCAAGGTGTAAAGCCTACAGATTTCATAATTCGACATCGCATCGAGACCTTACGTGATTTCTAGAATCTCTTTACACGAAAATTGAGGGTATTAGTTTGTTACGTTAATTTAGACCACAGTATTATTGAGTGGCAATCAAACTAATTTGGATAGGCAAATTATTATTTTACGTGGCATTGGACGACAGGGGTCCAGACCTGTCTGACGGGAAAGGGTAATTCCCCCGGTCCTCCACTGGCGCCACCACTTTGTTGTAAACGTCTGGAAGTATAGTTAAAATTGGTTAGATTGAAGTTAATACAGTAACTTATTTCATTCTTTCTAAGCCGCCTCTTTGGGCGGCTCTTGTAGAGTTACAGTATGATATTTTAAATTGCAAAGACAAAGAAACAGGGACGGATCCAGGATGTTCCACCAGGGTGTCTATTTTTTAAGGTTATCCAAATATCTTAAATAATTTCGTGTTTGATTAGTGTTTTTTCTCTTTTCTACCAGGAGAAAGAGCTGGGGCGATCGTACCCCCTTGAATTGTATGAAGTAAAATAATTAATAATAAATAATCAGGCAAAGCCTGGCGTGATGAATGGCCCTCAACCAGAATTTGAATCTTCCGTGTGGACACTCTCTATAATGATCATATCATGTATTTGGAACATGAACATTTATGTGTGGTAGGCCTAAATACTGTTTTTATACAGTATGAACTTTGTCATTTGAGATCAGCCTCACCAACCTGAACGTTGGATGCCATCTGCATTCTCTTTCCTTCCTATAACAGATGTAATCAAGCTCAAATGGCTTTTTGACTTTAAATGACACAAATTCTGTGTTGTACAGTAGGCCTACATACAAATAAGTAGAACGGCACATCATCTAAGCCTCATTTTATTTTTATTTTCATCTTATTGACATATTAATAATATTACAGTAATAGTTTTTTACAAAAAGTTTGTTTTAATACAGAATCTTCCTTGATCCAAGAATTTCTAGAAAAGGCAGAGCTCAAATATGTTCTGGATTTTAATGCATATTCATACAAAAATGACAACATTTCAAATAAACACACCGTAACTTCACTGTCCTTAGATGATGGAAAAGTATTGATATAGTTTGTATTCCTTGTATGTAGTCTTCTGTCATGCTGTACTTGACAATTTTCTGAGATAAATTTGCAGTCAAGCCTTTAATCCAAGGAGCTATTTTTTAGTTGATAGAAACAGGCACTTTTCAACGACTTAATCAGTTTGAAAAAGCTGGATAAAAAGCATCCCAAAACAGTGAACTATATGTGAAACTGCAAAGTATCGCATGCAGCAGATTGTTATGTACCATCCTATGGCTTAGACTAGCTCAAAGTTGTGCCATATAGCAATGAAAGGCTTTCCTCAACACTGCCAGGAATATATGTATCCCCTTCCTGCCTCTGCTGTAGGTTTAACTGCTGCCAAACCTAGGCCTAGCATCCATAGATTATAGCTAGAGAGGAAGGAGTCCGCCAAACTAGTCTAGCTTGAGAATACTGTATTTGAATCGAAATAATGTAATCATACACCATCTCTAAGTTCTCCTATTCTGTTAGATGCTGTCTGGACTGGAGTTGGATCATAACCAATACGCCTGTGTATCTCTTCCTGCTTTTGTTTAGCATCTACTGCTAGGCCTAACGGCAAGCCCTCCATGGCAGTATCCTGTGCGGGAGAGGAGGTGGATTGGTCGGTATTGCTAGGCTGCGGAGTTTGGTTCTTTTCTCGCCGTTTGTTTTCGAGTTCTTTCTTTAAGCGTTCAAATTCATCGATATCTTCTAGCCTTGGTTCAATCCGTGTAGGTCCTCTCTTAATCATTTTGTAAAAATTGATAGTTTAAACTTTGAAAATTAGCCCTAATCAAACCTCTTCACTGTGTGTGAAGCAGAGTTGCTTAATTTGTGGCGCATGTGGCGGCGCTGTTTTTGAAAAATGTCAACAGTGCAAGTCTATGGAACGCAAAAAGGGAATTAAATATTCCCAAGCACAATAACAATTTCAAATCAAAGTCGGTCGGATAAAAATATATACCCATAACTGATTGGATATTACTGTTCTAATGCAATCCATACATACAATAACATCCAATCAGAATATGTAATTTGTTTACAATTAAACAAGTTCGAAGGAGGGCATCTCAAAGATTTTTTAAAATAGGTTGAGATTATGCCATATGAAGCAAGGTTGTAGAAACTTGGTTGGCTATCACTTCAACAAAGACGTATTTCTTTTAACCTATTTGTGTACAAGCATAACATCTATAGTGTAATCGATAACATAAAAAAGTAACTCTTCTCACCACCTATATGCCCATACCATTGCCCTAAAACATGAAAAGATATTGTCATTACTTGCACTCTTAATTTTTTTTATATACATTCAAAGCATAACCTTTATGGTCAATTCAATATTTAACTTTGTATTGCATTGTAAAGTGATATTTTTTTCTTTATTCTTTTTAATTTTATTTATTGAAACTTCTGGCTTGCTGCTTTATAGAATCATTGGCTTCTTTAGAAGTCCAAAGACCTTTTTTGTGGTATGTCATGTAAAAAATAAAGGAAATAAATTTGAAACTGGTACAACTCTGTAATTTTATAAAGCTCTATACAGTATTGTCTTGACTAAAATGTCAATGAATTATATACTTGGACCTACTGTAGTCTACACTACATATTGTATACAAATACCATAAAACCTCAAATAGAATCCCTGGGCTTCTTTCTTTGCGAACTTTGGATGGGCTTCTCTTCAAGGCTACTTTGCAAAGAACAGAGGGGCTTTTTTACAAAATTAATGCTGTAAAATTGGGAATTACTACTATAAAACAATAAATAAGGCCACTGTAACACCAGTCTGTATCATGGAATGTATTAACCAGCATTAAATCACCTAAAAACCAAGGGTGTTTTTAATATATTTTGTTTTTTTGAAATTCATGTACAGCATCGGGATGGGCTTCTCTTCGAGGTTACTTTTGCTAAGTAAATAGGGGGGAGGGCTTTATTCGATATGGGCTTCTTCTCGAGATTAAGCCCATTGGGCTTCTATTCAAGGTTTTACGGTATTGCTCGCTCTCAGGTAAATTGTGTTTGTAGTGTTAATATGATTATAATACTAATAGGCAGGTATAGGGACTACCTACGGTACCCTAGTTGAAAGTAATTTAGAATAAAATATGATTAAAAAGAGTGGATTTGGAAAAGACTGAATGAAGCAAGCAACAGCACTGACGCATATACCCCAGTGGGGTCCTCTGTCAGGATATATTCAGATTCAGAGATAATAATGTGCACAAACTGAACTTTATTCCCAACAAATATTAGCAATAAACAAGAAATTACAGTAAGTAAGATATATTCACTTTTATCATAATAGTAATGCCAACCATTTGAAATGTACAAATATTTCACCTAAGAGAGGAAGGCCTTGTTGTTTGGTCAACTGATTGCTTCATAGCAACTTTTGTTTGCTGCAGCGATGCCAGTAAATTCTGCAGTGTATTATGATCCTCAAGCGAGAAAGTAATGTCAGTGATTTCTGTTAGGCACTGCCTACACTGCTGAGCCAAAGAAGTTGAGTTGTCCACTTCAGTGGTGGATTGGCAGTCAACATCTGGTGAAGAAATGCTACTACTGTCGTCGTCGTAATCATCATCATGTAATGAGTTAGTACTCTGGCATGTTACAAAGTATGCAGCATCTGTTGCGTCAGCATCGTTCTTAGATCTATAATCCCCAGTTACAGTAATATATTCTGAGCTTGGAATAAGGCTGTGGTCCAGGACAAGACAAGGATAGTTTCTAAACTTTGGGCTTAACTGTTCCCAGCCCCATTCTGTGTACTGGCTCTGGAAGACAGCATGGAAATGCTCACAAGGTAGGCGGTTACTCTCCCACGTGGGACAACCATAACAAAAAGGCAAGTTGTCGTTGTTGCCAAAGTAAACTGTGTTGACTCTTCCCGCAATGTTAACAATAAACATATTTCCTTCGGTTTTTTTAACCTTCACCTGATCATATGAATATGAGGCCAACTTGTCTAACATGGATATGTAATTTTCTACAACAAATGTTGGAGTATTCCTTACTGTTTCTGGAACACTTTGATCATGGAATAAAAATCCATTTATGCATTCAAGATTCCTTTCCTCATACCTGCAAGAAAGGTATTACTTGTTATAGTTTTGTTCATTGAAATTCAAATTACTTTTTGTACAATTTCAACTATACAACACAGCAGTAATGAAACAAAAAAAGAAGATGAAATTTCCCAACAGAAACCTGTGAAAGGTTGTAAGAATATGGGTACCAAAAGACAGTGACCAAAAGAAATCAAATTTTTTGGTGAGAAAAAAGTTTATAGTATATTGATAGAATATAATATACACACACACACATATATATCTGTCTCTTATACACATCTTTATCTCTACTGAGATCCAGCCATTGTTTCCCACAGCATTGTTGTTTTCCAGTATTTTGCCTTTTAATCTGTATATATATATAAATATATATATAATATTCACATCAAATATACAAAATGAAATGCAAACCCTATGAGTTTAAACATAGAATCATTAATTAAACAAAAATGTTAATATTGTTTTGGAAATAAAATAAGATGAATAATATCATAATACTCTACAGTTGCAATAATATACCGTTTGTAGATAGTTGGCATATAGCTGGTGACTAATTCCTCAACCATTTCACTGAGTGTACTGCACTTGTAGCTCTCTAGGTATGCAAATGGCAATAGATCATTCATGAATGCAAGCCCAAAGCTGTAGTGTATGTGAAATACCATCTCAGTTGGTTTGAATGCCTTCACCCATCGCTAGAGGAAAGAACCAAATGTTTAAAATCATAAAAACCTTCCAGAATACATTTATGTCCGTCTTACCTCTCATGAAAACACTAGTTACTTCCACCCCCAATAATAAAGTTTTCTAATTTCAATTCACCAGATCATTACTTCAGTGACACAGAGAACAAAATTAAAGACTGTATTGAACTGGATATTGTTTATGAGTTAATTAAAAAGGCAAACTTTAAAAGACAAACAACAAAATGTCAAGTGGTAGAATGGAACATTCCACCAAGCCCAACCTATTTGATATTGTAGCTATGATTCTACAGAATGACAGTGTAAACATAGTACATTATATGTGCATTTGTGTGAGAACATGTGTAATTGTAGGACGTGTTCCTAAACTATGGATTGAGGGCGCTATGGAATAACAACAATGACCACTTGCTCCGTCCAAAAATTCTAATTATAATCTTATAACTTATATGATGATGATGATAGTGATAGTGATCGTGATAATAGTAATAATAATAGTGGTGATTAATGATGATAGAAAGAATTGTGGTGATGATAATAATGATGATAGTGGTGATAATAATAATAATAATAATAATAATAATAATAATAATAATAATAATAATAATATCTATATCTTTTTAGTTTATAAACAGAAAATCTAATTTTCATTATCTGTCTCAATCTACAGTCACAAGTCATGAGTTAAAAAATGAATAATAAATAAGTTTAAGTTTGTTAGTTTTGTTTTCATGAATGTATCTTTATGTTCCGTTGTTCGGGTTGTTCATTCTTAAAGCTCTTGCTTGCTTTGGATACCCCTTTTCCATTTATCATTGTGTATTGTTACTTAATTATTTATTCAATTATCAATTTTATGTAACATGGTGATTCACGTACAATTGTAAATTTATTTTCGAAGGCGATAATTGCCTTCCATACTACATCGTCTTTCTTTTTATCTTTCTCCTTTACGCGGTTCAGTAAAACTAAATTACCAAAGCTAGCTACTAAAGTTATAAACTATCAAGATTATAAAATATTTAGGAAATTTGCACTTTGAAGTGCCATCACTGGGTAGAGTGATTGTACTGTTTGGTTATTGTCAACGTATTGCTCAGGAGCTGCAAAGCCGGGGTTTTTCTGATTGGAAAATAAAAGAATTTAAGATCGGCAATGGTGTTGTCATCTTTTTCCTGTTTACATTTATATTGTCTTGAAATATTTCACGATTTGTATTTTCCTGAATTTTGATGAATGGAAATAAAACTTATTTGAATTTGATGTTCAAATTGGACAGTTATTAAGTTTGATTAACACTATGAAAAGGTCCCTTATATAACTTATAAGCAAATAAACACAGGTAAACATAAACAAAATTTAAAAAATATTAATAGAATTTTTATGAGTAATTTTTCGAGTGAGATATTGCGAGATTAAATAAGATATCTGCTTTAAATCAGTATAAGCCTTACCTGAGATGAGGGCAGCCACCCAGAGTTCACCCATTCCTGGAACTTTATAGAATTTTTCCACAATTGACTCTCTGTGAGTGCTGCCACTGCAACTAAGTAATCACTGGTTGTTCCTGCATCGGCTATCCTTCTCAGCATCGTCATCATCACCTCCCTGCAATCTCTCATACCATTAGAACTACACTTGCCCCAATATTCCCATCGTCTCTCACGATGGTAATCCGTCAGGAATAACTTTGAATCTGTAAGCATAAAGTATCTACCATACATAATCAAATCCAAGTCTATACATGCTGCAAGTGTATAAATCTGGTCCTTCCTCAAGGTTTGCCTCACTGAATTTGGAACATAACCACAATTTTTTAGGTGGTTATATTTTTTCATTTTGAGTAAAGTTCACATAAAATGAAAAATACAATCACATAATTAAAAGTGGAAGGAGATATTTTTTTCCCCAATATTACCACAATTACTTGTTGAATGGTTTGTATATAATTGTCATTTACTGTATATGATCTCCATTCCACCATATACAGTAAAGATTTTATTGATTTATTTTTATATTATTTTAATTCATTTAGATATTGGATAGCCCTCACTCACAAACTGGAAAAATTGAGATCCTAATGGGAAAAATGATCTTCACAAGGAGAATGAAATGATAAAAAATGAGACTTACATTTACAATATTTTACTATTATTACTTTTGGTGTAGGCCAAAGGTCAAGGATATGCCAAACAGCGAACTTAATCACTTTCTTTTCTAAGTGGCAATCCTGTTGCAAGAAAAGCACACACACACAAGATGCTCTACATAAGTCTCATTATGAGGTTTAGGAAGTGAAGTTGTTTTCGTTGTGAGAATAAACCCTGTTACTGATGATAGGAATTGAACCCAGGACCCTGGGATTGTAAGGCAAGCATCTTAACGACAAAGCTATTCAACTCCACTATTAACAGTTTTTAAGTAGATGGCAACTCCACCTTTGACAAAAGGTGTTACATAAATCTCTATAATTTATATCCCCATTGTTACCCATTGTATCTACATATTAGGTTTACTTTACTGGAAGCCAATATGTAGGAAACACTATAATAATACAAGTGAAATAAAAACATATGTTAGAAACATTACCAGGAAATACGGTCTTTAAAGCTGTTTCTTCATTCTCCCCAAAATCTGACATGAAGTACTTGACTGGCCAATCAGGATTCCAAGACTTGAAGATATTCAATGCTTCTACAATGTTCTGCTCTGCCTCCTGATGAACAACAAACATGCCCACGATTTGACAAGCAACATTTGTCTGAACACATAGAAAATACAATGGTATGGAGTATCCGATTGTTCGATACGTTGCATCCAACACAACTAAATCCCCATATAATTGCAAGAGTTGTTTTTGCTGTTTAGTTTGACTGCAGAACATGAAAGTGTTGCCATTGCCATCCTCGCTGCTGAGACTTCTTTGATAAAAGTATTGATCTTCAGGATGATTATGACACCACTCTCCAACCATCTCCTCCACTTGTTGTAGTTCATTGTCAGATGATCTGTTCCTACACTTGTACCTGTAAAGAATGTTGTGAATGTCCTTACTACTTGGATAATATGCCCTCTTACTCTTTGGTGGCAGCTCCTTGTTTTTAAAAAGCGTATTGCGTAAAAAGTTGTCTAAATGTTGTGAGATTATTGACACCTTCTTGATTTTTCTTGCAGCGAGGGATTCAATTTCTTGCACAATTTCCTTTACAGGTTTGTCATTTAAATCAGACCCCTGGAAAAATAAAATGAATATGAAAGAGTATTAAAATTGGTGGATTACTTTGTTGGCCCTTATAAGAATATTACATATGCCAGTCGATCATTTGGTTTGCGAATGCTGGTGCTGGTACCAAATTTGAATCCCTTTCGATACATACACCTCTTGAACAGTGATCGGGTGTGTAACGTAACACTTTGGAAAATACAAACAGTCAGTGTTGACTGGTGAACATCTAGGTAAAGATATATTATTGAAAATTTAACCACTTCAAAGCTCATGATGATAGCAAGGCATAGGTGATGTTGAATGATGGTCAATATAATAAACTATTTACATTTTTATGAAGGAATACCATGAATGAGTTCTTAACTTCAATGCTATCCTTTATGAAGGACATCTGAACAGAGCAGCTGCATTCAATTCTAAAAATTATACCCTTGGCTTATTGAGCTAGAGGTTATACTCAAAAGAAGTATAACATCTGATATTAAGCCTACACTAGTGGGCTTATACTTAAGCATATACTCAATATTTTTTTTTCATTCCTAACTATTGACACCCATTAGGTAAATTCTATGCTTCGTACCTCACCAACAGAGTGGTACTTGTGTTCCTTAGGGTCAGGTAAATTTACCAAGTATTTTATTACTGGCTGCATTGATTTCAAATTTGTCTTTCTGTCTTGTCGAAACATTGAAGCAGCCTTTTTCCTTGAAAAATGTGTATTTTTTACCTGAAAAAAAAAGAAAACAAGAATTTTATTTATTTATTTATTTATTTTACCATAAATATATTAACACATTAATAAAAATATTAATAATTAATAATAATAATTAATAATAATAATAATAATAATAATAATAATAATAATAATAATAATAATAATAATAATAATAAGACACATTTACAATGGACCAATAGAAGAGTGTGAAAAATGAGAAGGAAAAAATAAGTGGTGGTGTGAAAAAATAATGATTCTTCTTTACTCAATGTTACTACACAAAAAATAATAAAAGATTTGTCAGCATTTATTTAGCATTATATATAAAACTAAGTCTCACCTAGTGTTTCACATTATTACCCAGTAATTGGAACAGGGGTTTAGCCAGAAAAATGAAATAGGCCATCCAGAATGAAAGCAAGTGGGCGTGGCACCGAGCCAGAGAGCGGGCCATGCCCATCTTTGGGAATCCCCACTGAATATTGGTACGAAAACAACGTACATTCAATGAATAAATGTTGTATTTATCAAACGTAAATATGATTTAGCTTGTTTAATGTAACATTCGATAGATTTGAAGAATATAAAAAAGTTGCTAAAGGTAGACCAGGCCCAATTAGGCTAGGCCGAGCTGATTAGGCCAAGCGACCGAGACGTCATGGTAAAAGTGGCCGTCCTAAATAATTGTAGGCTGTCCAAAAGACGGCCGGACAGCTCGCTGTTTAAGCCTATGAATTGGAATGATGTCAATGAAACACATACACAGCTCTGGTATACTATTCCACATTTTGCTGTACAAAATTGGCACATTGGTACTCTATACCTCCAAGGTACCCACTTTTAATCCAGTTGGAGAGAGACAACATGGATAAAAGTGCCTTGCCCAAGGACACAAGCAACTTGCACGACAAGGGTTTCAAGCACATACTTTAAGGCTGAACGTGTCCGAACCACTGGTTATAAATATCATCTTGTGATGGTATGTACAGGTAGCAAAAGGATTGATAAATGCTTTTATATTACTAATTTAAATTGTGAGGATGAAATAAGAATATCTCAAGAATAACAGATTTCATGGAAGCAGCTGGCATAATAAAAAGGGAGAATAGTATAGCAAAAGGGGTGCCAACAGGCCATATAATAAAGTATATTTGAAATTGATCCTGGATGAATTGTTGGGAAAATCTATATATTATGCAGTAGAAGTCCCAGTGCTACTGTTTATCATTTTGACTTTGACTAACATGGGTCTAGTTAATTACTGTATATTATACGATACAAAGAGGTTCTGAATGATAGATATCCAACAAGCAAAAACAGTCCCCCTCACTTATTCTTCAATTGAAATAATCTCTTAGAACATTTTTAGTGTAATAAAAACTTATTTCGGTTTAATACATCTCTAACATTATGAGCAATAGAAGAATAACAACAGTCACAAGGGATAAAATACATTAGCGTTGATAGTAAACACATTGCCTGTACAATAGTGTTCATATAAAAAAAAACTATATGTTAAAATTAGATTTAAAAAATACAAATGTTATTAACCAACCTTGTAAGCAGGGAATAATGCCAATTTCTTGATTAAAATCACTGCTGGACAATCCAATTTTTTTGTAGGTACAGTTCTATTGTGAACTACTACTTTGCCTTCATTTTGTTCCTGAATAAAATGAATACATTTTCTATAATATTGAACTTTTATTTAAAAAAACATATTTATTATTTCATTACCATCATATAGCAAATCACTTTCTATTAACAGATGCAAAGCACATTTGTGATTTTCAAGTGCTTTAGCTTTAAAATTTGAAAAAATTCAAATTAATTATTATGCAGTGGCTAATGTTACAACAGCCAACAAATTCCTAATTTTGATTGAATGTTACTGTCCTAGTCCAATCGATACATATCGATACATAAAATAACATCCAACCAGAATTATGAATTTGTTCATAAGGCTGGTGTAATAATGCATGAAGTTATTAATGAACTTTCTAATATGATTTTAATTACTAAATACTAACTGTTCTCCCTACATTATATACTTTTTTGTAACATCTTAAGCATTTGTATAATTGTACAAATGATGAATTGTAAAGTGGATGAGTGCTAATTTCCAATTCATACTGAGTTTAATACAAAAATACCACAACAGCAATTGTGTGGTCAGGTAAATATGGTATATACATTGTAACATTAGTTACCCTTTTTCTGTCTTGTCTTTCCTTCCATTTCCGTTTGATTGCCAAATTTCGATCTTTTCCATGCTGACAGGCAAGCAATTTACAACCAAGGTATATTGTTGGGGTGCTAGGATCCATCTTCGGAAATCCTTTTATTCTCCAACTGAACTTAGTCTTTGACTGCCATTCTAGTATAGCAGAGAAAATTGATATTTAAACAGCACATAGCAGTACGCTACAATAAATTCTAATGGTGTTTTTATACAGTATATCTGATCAACTGAATTGTCTTTAAATGTCTGATTTTACATTACAACTTTTACATTATTCTAAACTCCTATGAGATGGTACACAATAAAAAAAAATGATGTGGTACATTTTGTATTTGTTTTGAAATTAGTTGATATACTGTAGTTATACTAAGTGGAATGCAATATACAATCAAGTGTGGGAAAATCATTATTTTCCTGCCTCATCCAGACCTGGAATTGTATTTTACCTCCTCTTTTTTTATGTATTTTATGGTTTTAATAAACAGTGATAACACATTATCTTTCACATTGGTGATTTTAATAGGAATGTTTGTAAATTGTACATTTTTGCCCCTTGTTTGTACAATACTGTATAGCATTGTAATCTGTTTCGCTACTGATTCTGCTTGAGTGTGTATTGTTACTGTATTACTCAGTTTATCTGTAAATGCAATTGATACAATTTGTTATCATGACTATAAAATAAAATCATATCACAGCATATTGCTGCATCACAACTAATTATGAATTGGTCACAGGATTGTTACAATCATATTATAGGATGATGAACTTAAAAAACTCAAAATTATGATTATCATATCTGACATTATAATTAATAATATTATGTTAGTTTGTGTGTGGGAAGGCGTAAAAGAGCAATTTACAGAATTACTAAAAAAATGATGTGGATATAGAGGTACGGTACCGTACTATCTCGGTAAATGATAAGGAGGGTTAGGGTTGGCAACAGCTAGGAATGCTCACCATATTACTGAGATATAGCACACTACGGTAATAAAAAATTCTGAAATATACCTTCCCGATTATATCCTCTATCTGTCTTAGAAGATACAAATCTGGAGACTGTTTCCTTCTCATATGAAGCTATGACACGATTTACTTCCAACACAGAATCGACAACAAGGTTTTGCTTTTGCATTTGTACAGCTGGAACACTGCTGCTCAAGGCTGAATCATCCAACGTTGTCTTTCTCTTCTTTGGAGAACTAACAATGTCTGTTTCTGGATCCGTATTCTGGACAGAATTTACATCAACTGAGGCCAACATTTTCAATTCATTTGTTATGGCCAATCGAATTATAGGGATATCCAAGTTTAGATCCTACTCATACTCATAAAGATAATCGTACGATATATTGCCAACTATATGATGCATAATTTATCTAGGCCTAGGACAGGTGTAGGCTGATATGATGTTTCTTCTAGACTCGTATGCGGCAGGCACACCCGGGCTGAAGTGGAACTGAGGTTACAAAATGCCAGTTCCTGACCAAAAAGACAGGCCTAGCGTTCAAACTGGTACAGTATTTTGCTGAGGTTATTTAATCTAAAAAACATGGGCTCAATAAAGTTTTGATGCTTACACCATTGACTGACTTGCCAATAAAGTATTCAAATATCAGAGTTCACTTTCACAGAACTTCACTTTCAAAATTGGCAGAATACACCAGCTGGCCTAGCCTAGCACTCTAGTCACAAATTAATTAAAACGAACGCCGCCGCGCAGCGTGTGTCTCTTATACACATCT